CTGCTGCTGCTGCTGCGCGGGGATCCAGCGCCTTTAACTTTCCGGCACTTCCCGCTCCATCGCTATGGAAACCACCGACTCACTTCTCCTTTTTTTTCCAGCTCCTTTTTCAAAGAAAGGGCGCAGAGGGTGCCCCCGCGGCCGGCGCCTTCAGCCTCGGCTCGAAAGGCTCTCCCCTCCAGGTGATGCTTTCCCGGCAACTGGCAGCCGGCGCGTCGCCTCCCGGGCCGCCCGCTCTTCAGCAGTCCTCCGCGGCGGGCATCACCCCCTCCGCCCGGCCGCGATCCGCAAAAGTGACCCGGGGAAGGGGCTGCGGAAACTCTGCCCAGCTGGAGCGCCACCGGGCGAACTTCAGAGGCAGCCGGGCTGGGCAACTTTGCCGGGCGCCGCCGTCGCGACCATGTGCGCCGTCCTCCGGGCCAGTTAGCTCCTCGCTCGGTCACTCGCTCGCTCTTTTACTCGGGCACGCACGCCTCCCTCTCCCCTCCTCTCGCTTTTTTTTTCTGATTGCCCCGCTACCTGGCCGCGGCTGCATTTATCGGCGCGGCTCCGCACAGGAGCCCGTGATGTAATTCATAAGCGCTCTTGTTGGCTTCCAGCCCGAGAAGTTCTCCGCAGACGCCACCTCGGTCCGAGCGTGAAATTGCTGCCTAATACTCACTCGGGCTGGGGGGGGGGGAGCGCCCTCTGCTGGTGGTCGCCCCACCGAGGTGTCCTGCCTCACCGCCCTCCCCCCTCTGCCTCGCTGTTGTTCCTTTTTCTTGCCTTTTTTTTTTTAAATCTCCAAGCGGAACAGATTCAGAGCAAGGAGGGAAAACCGGTGAAAGAAACGTGAAGACACCGTATGCTTGCCAGAAAATAGCAATGACTTGAAACGACTGATGAAACCCGAAGAAGAAAGTGCAAAAATAGGATTACAGTTGAACATTCCAAAGAGAGAGAACTTCAGGGCTGACAAGGATGAAATTGAAAATTCTTAAAAGAGTTTCTGTACTCTTTGGAGACTGTGGCTAAAAAAGCCTAAGACTTGAAAAGGCAGCTATAAAAGAACTAGAACTGATCCTTAAGGATGCATCACTGGAGAACAAAGCTAAGACCACCCATAGGGTGGTATTCCCAATTGCTGTGTATGGTTGTGAGGAAAGCCAACAGGAAAAAGATCACTTCATATGAATTATGGTGCTGGAAGAGAGCTGGGCGGATATTGTGGTGTGCCAGGAAGACAAATGAGTAAGTCCTGGATCAAAGGAAGTCTGAACTCTCACAAGAAGGTGTCTAAACTGAGGCTATCATAAGCAGAGAAGACTCAGTGAAAAAGACAATCATTCTAGGCAGGGTAGAAGACAGTACTGAAAGAGGAAGACTGAATAAGAAATGGATTGACTCACTAAAGAAAGCCACAGCCTTTAATTTGCAAGACATGAGAAGAGCTGTTTGTTAATGACAGAATCTTTTGGAAGTTAATTCATAGGGTCCTAACTTGGAAGCAACTTGGTGTCACGTGACAACAGAAACTTCCAGCATAGAGAAGCGACAGGCCTGGGACACAGATATTACCAGGATCCCATCATGTCCTGTTTCCTTAAGGTCTTATTTTCTTCAAAGAATGAGTGTGAATCCCTTTTCCGAAGAGGTATTTCAGTGAAAGCACCACAATCTATGGTTCTCTGTTCCCACCCTCTTTCCTGGAAGCATTCCAGACCCACGACAAGGCCGGCGCTCCCATTAAGCAGAGGGAGGCAGCACTCCCAAGGACCAGATGCAGACTGAAACCCTGTTGCATAAATGGTGAGGATGTCACCGCCTGCTAATGTTAATCTTCATTTTAATTTAATTTAACACTTCATATCCTCCCACTCTTTCAGTGTCTTAGGCTCCCTAGGGACCTTTTTTGCCCTGAGGAAGCATTTGGGAGCCTCGGAAAATTGCGAAATGGCCAAACCCAGTTGAGGTATTCTGGGAGTTGTAGTCCAAATAATAATTCCCTTCCCCCCCATCTTTGGTGGGACTTCACTATCTAGGAGGAGGCCTATTAAATGCTAGCCCTTCTGTGCCTAATGGTTAGAAGTGTCAAAGCAACAACCAGGTGGATGGGAGTAGAGTGTGTTTCACATCAGAGGCTGGTAGCCTACAGCTGTAAATCAAAGACACTTAGAATTAGTTTAAAAGATAACCATTATCACTGTTTTGGAGAAAAAGAGAAGTCCATAATTTGTAAGACTCCATAGAGTTGTAAAACTCTTAATTCCTTTTGGTTGCTGATAACAAATTACTTGCTTTAAAAAAGTGCCTCTATGCTCCACTCGTATTCCTGCTCTGTGCTGGAAAGTTATGGGATGTTCTGGTGTCCGACTTCAGAGCAGTAGGAAGTGTTGCACAAACTTTTGTGTGCCTGACGCTGGTGCAAAACATACATAACAAGGAATCTAGAAAATTATACCCAGAGGCAGAGACTGGGGAGGCAATACATTTTAAAGGGTTAAAGTCCTGCCTTGTGTTATATGGTTATTCACAGCTTTGCTGTGTTTCAGATATCTTCCCAGCGAAGGATAGTCCATTCAGTTGCTTGATCAAGAATAAAGATTTTAGTTGTTGCAACTTGGGTGTAAATGGAGCACAAACAAACAAACAAAAAATAAAGCTTTTCTGCCTCTGCAGCACATGCGCCTCTGCAACACATGCACCTATCCTTCTGAAATTTGCATTTTTCCTGCCAAGGGACACCTATGCCTCAATGTATGCCGGTTTTCTTGAAAATCCTTGCCACCACCATCAGAAACCACCGCCACCCACAAAAGGTTGGTTAAATAGTTCCCTTTCTACTAGCCACACGAGAGACACCCCTTGCACAAGACCACCTGCACCTGTGTACATTGGCACTGGGCAGGCTTCACCAGCTCAGAAGGCACAACCTTATCTGTGCATTTCATCAAATTCTAGAGCAAGAAAACAACGTTGCTTGTGCTTTGCTCCTTTTGAAGCTTAGAATGTCTAGGCTACGAGCATGGAAAATGAGCACCTGTTTGTCTAAACTTGGTCAAGCTTCATCCATCCTGAACAAAAGCTGCCAATTTCACTCAGTTCCCCCTGTTTGTAGTAGTTGGTTTTCTTCTTCTTCACCCAGTGATAGTTGACGGGGAGGCGGGAATCTGGAGAATTCTCAGAGCAAAGTTGTTATGCAGACCTAAGGAAATGTAAGTGGCCTTCAAGGTGGTCTGAGCCACAGAGACTTTGTTTTCTGAAGTACTTTACTGGGACTGGACCTTTGATGCCCTCACACTAGCAGAAACCACCCATGCCAATGTGGAAGGATTCTATCATGATCCAATATCACCCCAGAACCCCTTAGTTCTAGGAAGAACAGCGATGATGCCCACTCTTGTCAAGACAGTTGGTCCTGGTGTAAATCAAAGACACTTAGAAGAGCTGGAACAGAAAAATCACACTAGAAATTTTTTTGTGGCAGAATCACACCGTTGTTTCTGAATTTTACCTCTGGCTCTCTTTGGCACAAAATGTACCCCTTCAGAATGCCTGATGGAGTGCTTTTCTTGTGAAATCGCTCCACATACAGAAAAGTAGCATGCACAGGTCCTAGGATGAGAGTCCGTGGAGAACAGTGGATGGAGAACTGGAGACCTGGGTTCAGATCTTTGCTTAGCCATGGAAACATCCCTGCAGGGGGTGACAACGGCAGGCCACCCCTTGAATATCTTATATCCCTCAAAAGCCATGTCAGAGTTGCCAAAGTTGCCATGATGACACATGACAGTGGCAGGGTCATAGAATAGACTTCTTTCTACTTTCTGTGCATGTGCAGGCAAGTTTTTATTATCATTCCCTCCTCCAGCTGGAGGACTGCTGAGTTATGTAGCCTTCCTTGGAAAGACAATGGTGCAGCTTTGAGTGTCTAGATGGGATCTCAACAATCCATCCAATAAGTCTGTATCACAGGCCATATAGGAGGGAGAAGACTCTTAATGCTGGGTTTCTATTTGTGTGCAGACTGTAAAATCAGTGTGCAAGAAAGGATATTGAGGATGGATGTGCTTGTGGATCGCTTCCCTTCTGTCACCCTCCTTGAGTTAAAGGCATAGCACCTATAGATGGTGGTGGGCAAACACAATCTGGACTCTCATGGCATTTAGAAGCCTGAATTTCTATCGCACGAGTACATTGCACCAATAGTGAAAGCTCTCTGCGGGAGATGTGTGCCCCAATTTACAGAAAGCAACAAGTATAGTTAGGGAGCAAGTGGGATGTACCCTTTTTCTTTCCCTACCCCCTCCCACCTTGCACCGAATAGGGTTCAAGTTGTGGCACCTCCATTTCAGTATTGGTGATCAAATATTTGGTCATGTCAGCAGTCTCTACGACTCCCAAAACATTTGCAAACGTTTCATTAGGAGAAAAGGGTGTGTGCGGAAATGGGCATAGAAAACACGCAGAAGTCATTTTGCCAGAAGAAGAGCTATGGCATCATGCTAGACTTGCTCCTCTCAAATAGCAGACCCACCACTGTCTTCGGCAAAGACAGCTACACATGATTAATCCTGAGCATCTGTTGAAGTCAGTCATAGGGGTCAAGTATTTTGTTGAAATGGGACCTTAATAGGTACCTCTGTCCTTTCTGATCTGTGAACAGCTCAAATGAACTATACTGTCAAAGGAAGTATCTCATGGCCCTAAATGGTGTGCTGGAACATCGTACCTAGTATTAGAGCATAAGGGATGTCCCCTGGCCCAGTCTATGCTGGCACATAGTTTGGTGCCCAATCAACCATGTGCCTTTTTGGAAATCTTCCAAGCCAATGCTTGCCCAGGCCTATGCTGGTGTTTGTGTGTTCTAGATCTCCGGGGAGAGCAAACCCTCACTTCTATAAATAGGGAAAACCAAACATCTTTGAGTAGGGGTTACACAGCACCTTTGAATTATTTCTGGCAAAATGGTTTGCCCACATCAAGGCCAGAGAACCCAAGAAAAAGCAGGAGACAGAGGTTACTTTGGCAGTGACACTACTGCAAGGACAAGAAAAGAGAAACCAGCGTTTATGGGGGAAGAAAGACAGACTTTAATGTTCTTAAGTAAACCACCCAAAATCCACACCGGAATGCAGGCGTTTGTCTGCACAAACACACATGCACATTCAGCCCTAGTACAGCCCTGGTTTCAAAAGGCATGGGAAGAAATGTAGAGAAAGTGAAGCCCAGGTAGTATCCTATAGTGACAGAGGTCTCTCACTTAGTGGTTATACAAAAATGGTAAAGACTAACTATTACACCCTGGTGACCTCACTCAAGAGACACCCCCCCACAGCATGTGGCATACACAGGAGAGATCTTGGGTCATACCATGGGGATGAAGTTTTTAGTCTTCTCCTTTGGCACTGGTTCAGCATCTTCCTTATAAGGTGTTGATATCTTTGATTCCTTTTCTCCACTTTTAATTGCTTGACACTGTAAAAAAGAGAGAATTTGTTAAAGCTGTATGAATGCCGGTTTTAATATGAAAGATCTTGGGGTGGGGATGGGGTTACTGCTCTGCCCGACGAATGCCCCAGGGCTCTTTGCTCTACCCTATCATGTCCTTGGAAGTAAGTCCCAGTTTACAATACAGGCCTAAGGACAGTGCACACATCTACTCTGCAGCATGCTGTTTGAGACTCTTGATTTAGAGTTATCTAGATCCATGCTCATGTTCTCATTCTGAAGAAAGAGCAGTAGTCTTGAGCAATTCTTGACTGTGATTTCTTTCCCTCATCCTTACTTAGGCTGTAATTATATTTTTAAGAATGAAGCAGTGTACCTTGGGCCAGGATGACTTTTCCAGTTTTTAAAACTTTTTCTTTCTTTCTTTCTTTCTTTCTTTCTTTCTTTCTTTCTTTCTTTCTTTCTTTCTTTCTTTCTTTCTTTCTTTCTTTCCTTCCTTCCTTCCTTCCTGCAATTCTTGACTGTGATTTCTTTCCTTCATCCTTACTTAGGCTGTAATTATATTTTTAAGAATGAAGCAGTGTACCTTGGGCCAGGATGACTTTTCCAGTTTTTAAAACTTTTTCTTTTTCTTTCTTTCTTTCTTTCTTTCTTTCTTTCTTTCTTTCTTTCTTTCTTTCTTTCTTTCTTTCTTTCTTTCTTTCTTTCTTTCTTTCTTTCTTTCTTTCTTTCTAACAACTCATCCAAATATTCTGGGTTTAATCCAAGCAGATCTAGAGCCCTGGTTTTTATCAAAAGAATTAGAAAACATGAGCATAGCAGCTACCTCTTGACTAATATTTCTGTGGCTCAGTGAAAAATGAGAACTTTATCCACTGTTGTCTTAAAAAAAACAACAACAGCCAATTTCATTCGTGATGTATTATTCAGAGATATAGGAGTTACAACTGAGATGGATAAAACATGCTTTGGGTCTGGAATACATTGGATACACACTCCTAAACGATAAATCTAAATATGCTGTCTAAATGAGTTTGTCCAAATATATAATAACAATCTTAGAGCAGCAGAGCTGGAAGGGACCCTGTGGATCATGGAATCCAGCCACTGTCAAGGAGGCACAAGTGGGGAATCGAACTCCCAGCCTCTGGGTCCACAGAAGAGACCTAAACCAATGAGATATCCATATCAGATAATTATTTCAACTCCTACTTTAATCAAGGACAAGCAGCAGGTCAGCTTGCTTTGCTTTGTAGTTGAACATTGCTGGGTGATGGTGGTAAAATCTCAAAGTATAAAGTATCTTAGACTTGGGTCTATTTTGCTTCCAGTTCCAGTTCCAGATTCTTGATTCTGTGATTCCACATAAGATAGAGAATGGATCTCAGTGAAGCAAAATGTACCGTGCCACTAGTAACTGCAGCCATTTCTCTTTTGTGACAAAAACGATATGCCTAAAATGAAGAAAACAAAAGTATCTCAGAAATTTATGTTTCAAAAAGTCAGTACGTGAGGGACATAGACTGCAAATGCATTTTCCAAGCAGGCATCCAAGGAGGTGTTAAGTCTGTTGAAGCAAAATCAAGGAATCTTGTGGTATCTTTAGGACTGATGAATGGCATTTGGCACTTTACTGGCTGGATAGCTCAGTGGTTTAGGTATCTGGCCGCAGAAGGAGAACTTGGGCGTTCACTTCCCCATTGTGCCTCTTGTGAGCTGAGCCAGCCTGTGTAGCCTTGGGTACAGTCCACAAACAGGGAAGGGTAAACCACTCCTGAGTATTCTCTTACCTGGAAAGCTCTTTAAAACATCCGCAAGTCAGAAGTGACTTGATGGCACATGATGATTATTATTATATTTTGTAGACTGCAGCCCTCCCCCTTTTCTTGATGCATGGAGTACAAGATTCAAATACAGGTTTATATTCAAGTGGTCCTGGCTACGGGGTGGGGACAGAGTGAAACAGAATACAGAAGATGGGTGCCGCATATTTAATTATTTGCAAAACTTAAATAATGGAGACATTTGTTTTGTCATGCGCTGGGTATTGTCTTACTAGGGATAAAAAGAATGTACAGCCTCCCCACCACCACCTCAACCCAAATGCTTTCATATGCAGGACAGAAGGAAAATGTGATGTTGGAAAGAAAAGCAAATGGCCCATATCTTGTTAGCTAGCCACAATGGGGTTGATTCCATGAACATACATTTTAATTGCCAAGAGTTCAGACACTGGCTTGGTTTTTAATTACCATGCAGCAGTTGTATGACTTTGCACATGCCCCCCCCCAAAAAAAACCAGAGCTTACTTCTTGTGGTAATTTATGCTGATGGTGTAAGAGAGATCATCAGATTCTGGTTGATAATAGTTGAATGGGGAAGATATGGAAAACAGGCAGATTCATCTCTCTAGTCTCAGATCCTGGAATGCTGAGTTAGGCACCAATGGTTCCTTTTTCTCCTGACCGGCTTCATCTTTAACACGTGGATGGCAACAGGCACAATATGGTCCTTTTAATGCTGAGAATAGCTTTATCTGTTGAGTTCGGTCACTGAAAAAGGGAGAGAATTTAATTTTCTTTCTTTCTTTCTTTTTAAGTGCAAAAAGGAGAGCATTTAACTTTCTTTCTTTCTTTTTAAATTTTTTTGAAGACTTTACTAAGCATAATGAATTGCATATTTGGGATGGATTTTTTTGAAAACTTTACCAAGCATAATGAATTGCATATTTGGGATGGAAACAGTCTGAAGCTTAAAAATTGCATGCAGGAGAATGTGAAGCTGACAGATTATATCCTTCCCACCAATTGGCTATATAACTGATAATGCAAACTCCTTAAAGCCCTGTGTTACATAAGGACTTTGATGAGACACAGCCAGGAAACCGTAGGCTTGATCTTTTCAACCCTTGATTCTGTATTGTGAATATTCTTGCTATGAACGGATATAATGGGCTGAATTTTAGAAACACTGTTATTCTCTCAGCAGAGAAACTCCCACTCTTATCCCCAGGAATGCAGTGCAGGGAGAAAAAAGTCATAGGATGATGGAGGATGGCAATAAGACCTGGAGCTTCATAAAGTGGTGCAAGACCAAGACAATGTTGTGTGTCTTTGTGGGCCTGAAAGCTGGAAGAAAGGTGTGAGAGTGTTGTAAATGAGCACATTTTGTCACATTGCCTAATGTAATTCCTGTTAAGGTCTACCTTGGCTATTAGAAGCTTTAGCTTAGCTTAGCTCTTAAACTGGAAGGTATTAAAATAATTGAACATATATGAATAACTGACTAATCACTAAATACACTATGCTAATCATTGATTATACTATAGCAACACCATAAAATATAAGCCATGATGAAAGACAAGCAAATGTATTAGTACCAATGTAGACAAGAAAGATAGATAAAGGTTGCTAACGGGCAACTAATCTGTCTTAAGTGATTGTGAAGAGATATACAATTAGACACACTTGACTGTTTACTTATAAACCACTTGTGCAATTAAATGCTTGCAGGACTGAGGTGAATGGAGCATGAAGCTAGTCAAGTCTTTCTACTTCAGTTTTATTGATCTTCAACATAAACAGTTGTAAAAATTATGTTTACTCAGTAAACAAAGCAAAATGACAAGAGGGTTAAGGCTGCTCTTTCGACACACTTGTCGAGACATTTGCAGTACATTTCTTGACCTCTTGTTTTAAAATTGGGAGCCAAACATCCTGAGGGCCAGCTGTCATTTCCCTGAAAAGGTCACTCAATAATCGAGTCTGAATCTTCAAACTTCAGAGTCAGGATTGATGGGCAAAGACCTTTTTTTACCATTGATCGTTAATTAATAGATGGCTCCTTTTCTATTCACATCTGTTTGTTACTGAAATTATCTGTCTCAGTTTCTTCCTCTGCTTGCCGTCTCGCTTCCCCTCACCCGCCCCCATTCTGTGGGACAGAATTAAGGAATAGCAAATGTTTAATAATGAGGAGTGAATTTTTATCCTGCTTTCTGGAGTGGCTCCAATGCTTCTTCTATGAAATATGTTTCCGTGCCTTTATCAAAACCATAACACAGAGGGGGACTTCCACAATTTAGAGCCTTCTTGAAGTCTTGGACTAGGTTGTGAAATAAGAGAGGGTAAAACACCATTTGCTTAGACATTGTCGTGCTCCCCCCCCCCCCC